GGCAGAGTATGGGTCCCCTTAACCATCAGCAGCTCACATCTAATAATGCATTAAATAACAAAATGTAGAAATTCGACTAACTAGATAAGAAAAATTGTAATATCCCAAAATTTTGGGGTATTTTAGCATTAAATTGGGGACTTATTTGAAGAAAAATATTGTTTTGGGGGTTAATCGTAAAATTTTGAAAAGTTGAGGGGCTAAAAAGAAAGGAAATTTGGATAAGGATCAAGGCTGATATTTCTTTCCTCAGCCACGTGTTTTGCTCTTCCTTATCTTCTCCTTCTTCCCGATTCTTCTCCCTGGAGAAGCCCCCCCCAAGCCACCGACTCTCTCCCCTTGGAAACCCGGTGGGATCTTGATGAAATTTCGCCTTCTTTCTTGCTTAATCACAAGATTTGGGGCTTAGAATTCTCTCCCTCAACCCAGAAATCCCGAATCTGCTCTGCTTCTTCCTCCCTTGTCCGTTGGGTTCTGCTGGGTTTGAATCCTTCGGCTTTTTCTGGTAAGAAGCAGCCTTGAATTCATCTTTTCAACTTTAATTTGGCTTGCGTTTACCTTGAATTGTGTTTTGGTTTTGGATTGAGGTAGCCGTGAGTTTCCCCTGAATTTTCTGCACATGCCGTCGGCTTCCTTCCCAGCCGGAACCGGCCTTTGCTTGCCTGAAATTTTGGTAAGTTGCCGGCTCTTCCAAGTTTGAATTACCCATTTAATTGCTGGGTTTTGTCCATTAGTTGATGCTCTGTGTTGTTCGAATCTGCTGGGATAGGGGATGAATTTGGCAGCCCTTTTAAATGTGTTTTAAGCTTGATTATGTAGAATTTAGCTTGAATTAGCCGCTGTGATGTTTTGTGTGAGAAATCCCGTGTGTGTGAGTGTGAGTTGCCAAAGTCATGCCCTCCATGTGCTGCCCGTGAGATTGGGGAAATTTTGGTTAGCTATAAGCTATGTTTCAAGTGTGGTTTAAGTAGGAAATTAGCTTGATTTGGGTTGTTGTGATTTTGGAGAAAAATCCTGTGAATTAGTTAGTGTTTGGCCAATTTGGAAGTGCAGTTACTGTTCACGCACCGAGGGTTAATGATTAACAAGGATTTAAAAGTTTAGTTTGTGATATAAGAATGAATTTGGAGATGTCCGGTTATGTGGAGATTGATGGAAATGGCACTATAATTAAGGGTAGTGCTAATGATGATTTCACTGTGAATTTGTGGTGGTATGGTTATTAATTGTGGAATATTGTGATTAGGTTTTGATCGTTCTGTCACCGTAGCACTTGGATTAGCCTTCTGTTCTGTGCGAGTGAGGTAAGTAAATTATGGTAAAGCCCTATGATTTTAAAGCATGTTTTAAACTGTTTTTGAGATGGTGGCAAGGTTTAAA